TTCTGGATTGGACGTGTTTTTTCTCTCGGTTGTGCACCCGTACCTACCTTATAATGGAACCGGTGTCATGGTCACATGAACTCCATAACACACACACAGACACAAGGGTTACATCAGGTTAATGATGACGTAATGATGTGATGAGAACGTAATTTTACAGCTTGACTGAAAACCAAAATGTCCAAGCTTACAATCTAGTGTACATTCAAATTCAAATTACACCACACAGAGAAGCTTTCGCTTATTGGTTGTCCTGGTAATGGTGGGTTCCGTCTGTGGGCTGACTCGCTTGCGCAAGTGACGCTTCTTCCGACTCACCACAAAAGGAGTAATATCTGGAACGTGGAGCACGCACTAGTGTGCTGGAGGATGGGTTTTTCGGCTGAAAAGAAAGTTGTTCACTTGCCTATCATGAATTTGTGTAGAGAACAAAATCGGTCATAACTTGATCTGTCGGCGATAAAAAAAGATTTCAATGAGACTGTTCGTCTCAGTTTCATAACTACCCGATCTTGCCATCGCTTCCCCAGTTTTCGCTTGTGCTGTAAAGTAATCCACTTGTCATGTCTAGTGTCTTTTGCCAAAATATTCTCAATATGGCGATTGAGGTTCACCGGTTGAGTGAAGTTTAAGCAAATACGGTTGAAGATTTCACGTTCATAGAATTAAAACCTGTGCGGTTTAATCGTGAGGAGGATGGATAGATTTGGGTCACAGTGGCAAGGGTTGTGATCGGGTCTGTCATCAGGTCTCATTGGACCCTGAATTCCGAGGTATGAACACCTCCACCGCCGCCATTCAACTTAGTCGGTAGACAGTTTTGTTTCACGTGAATCCCGGCAGAGCATCAAGGGATATTGAATTATTATTAGTCTTGGGAGTTCCGTTGCATCTTTTCTTTTCGTTTCGTAACAGTAAGGTGTGGAACCAGCAAGCTCTGACGTGCGAGAGTTCCATCAGGAACCTACTGCCATCTGGTGATACACCTGATGGCTGCTTGGTCGATTGAGATGCGGCCTTCGCTGTTTGAACGCTTACACCTACCACCTCCTCAATAGCAAAAGGAGGGATGTACAACTGTATGCTGATACCTATCTCAGCCTGGACCAAAACACTTAGCACACATCAACAATCTGTTTGGTTGCGAAACAATTTACGAGAATTGGAGAGAATTATTTGCTGACATACATCGTCAAATGCACAAATAAACTACAACCATATACCTCAAGGTTGCCACCAATTAATAAGCTCAGCCTAGAAGTGGTAGTGGTATAGTTCAACATATATTCACACCTTGTACGAAACAAGTGTGGTACAAAGGATACATCATAACGAAATGAATTCAAGAATTTTCGAGTATTAAATTCCTTAATCCAGAACAGAAGATTACCTTAGGGATTCACCACCCGGGGGGTTCGGTTAACCGAAACCGGAGGAGCAACACAGCACGGATGCGTCTAAATAACTAAATTCACTTGAGACCGGTGCCCAGTAAGTCGAATCTAGCCTCCTTGAGACACATTCCACACGCCTAAGGGGCCTCTGGCACACTATCGTTCAGTTAGACCAGTGACGATAACGAACAGAATGCCCCGGATTGTATTCTTGTTTAAGCTTTAACAGGTTCAACATAATATTCAGTTGAAAAACAAACCACAGCTGTGGTACTAGCAAAAAGTGAAGACAAAAAGAGAAGCTGTATAAAGTTATGAATGAAATACTGACGGGAATGTAGATCTCAGAGTGCATATTTACTTTATCAGTCAGAATCAAATATGCCGAAGTTTTAACCGCCTAACTGTACGAGAAGGGCGAAACCAGTGGTTGGATTTGGTGGGTGAACCGGATTTGTGTGCACCTTAATCGATCACCAACAGGTGGTTGCTATCAGACAAAAGAATTTTGTTTGCAAACTTCAAGCAGACAGCATCTTTTCACTGCTCATTATCGTTCGTTCATTTTGAGCCAATGCCTAAGCAACTTAAAACCAACCTTCATCAGAGTCGGGAAAAACACAGAGGAACGGTCTAGGAGAATAGGAAGAACGACCAAGCTAATGAAGGGACTTGTCAAAATAAGAATCACATGCTATTCTGATTTGAAGGAGTGTTTTCAGCTTGCATGTAACGATTTGGGGATGAAGAAATCGACGAAGTATAGGTATAATGGTAACACCCAAGTGCTTTACACGACTGACTCTGATCATTAGGTTTCTTTAAATCTGCACATTGACAGAGGGAGGCAAACGGTGCAAAGCAAACAAACATTCGAGGTTTTTATAACTAATGTGATTAGGACCAATTGACGTGGAACATGTAAAAAGACCAGATATATCTTCATATTCCCTTTATCTCTCTCCCTCTCGACTTCGAAAGAACCGCCCGCGGGTAGGGTCAGTTCGCTTGTGATTCCGATTCCGTATAGTCTCATCTGTCTATCTATCTACAAAGCATCGTTAACCAAGTGATGCGGTTTTCTGTCCCCCGTTTTTCTCGAAACATTGAAGTCCTGTTGATAAGTGCACAACAGTACTGTTGATGGTTTCTGATCTAATGATCCACTTCATTTCTTCCGGTTAGAGTGACTCTGTTTCGTACCAATTATTATTTTGGGATTCAACCCCTTTTATGAATTTTCCATTGCTTATTACACATCTACAGATATTTGCATATCTTTATCATTTGCGCAAGGTGAACAACCGACCGATAATCAATTTCCCATCCCATATTTTTTGAATGAATCTCACCTCAATTCAACGGCAAAAACTGAGTGTTTCAAATACACGAACCTGTCATGTTTTGCACACCGGAGAGAATATTCTACTTGGGTGTTACGTCTCCGATAAATATGAACGTTTATCAGCAGTTCACAGGAACAGTTTCACTTTGTAATGATCGGGATTCCGAATCATTTATAATTGTAAAGATTTTAGGGCAGCCTATCAGTCCTATTTGTGTTCTTTATCCTTCTTTTGATTGTACAACTGCAATGATATTAGTGATAGAAAATTGCGACGGAATTACGCAATAGAATAGTGCAAGTGTGCATAGTTGGTGAGAGCCAACAGCAACTTATTCGATAATGACGTTTGAGAATGTTTTGGTGAGTCGATTGTCGCCAGGTCGTTGCTTTATCTACGCGAAGAAAGATTCATTTTCAGCAAAATAATGTTTGTATTATTCTCTATTTGTTGCACTCTTTCGCCCGCTTAAAACTCATTCTTCTAGGCTTTGTTTTCAGCAAACTTACGTCGGATATCCTCGTTATGTTTCGCAAATGTGACGGTTGATCTCGGTATTCAAGCATACTAACACGGGTGCTTGATCGATCAGATTTAATAAGGATACGCGACATCATTGTCTATAGACC